AGGGGGGGATCGGAGGCCAAGGAGCCAGGGCACCATGTGGCATCCGGTTTTAAACAACTCTGCGTAGAAATAGAAGAGAACCTCTCAGGAAAGTGGGAGGACTCTGGCAGGCCTCCCAGGGCTGAGGCACGTCAAGTTCCTGCCAACTTGTGACGGAAGTGGGAGATTTGTGGGAAGGGAGGAGGGACAGGGGCATCAAGGGAGTGGACACAACCCAGAAGCATTTTTCTTGGTTAAAAACCCTGCTCTGAAGTAAACATGTTTCTGAGTATCAGGATGGTTTTTATTCCCCCAGGCTGTTGTGCACATGGTCTACTTCCTGTGAGTGCAATTATTCCCAGGTGCGTGTGTCTGTTCTCAGAGAAGGAATATTAGAAGCTATTTGTGGTCTCTGCCTGAGAATGCTTTGAATAATGGGAAGTAAAAATAAGCTCTACCTCTTTGTGTTTCTGAGGCAAGAACAGGCCTTCTAGATTCTTTCTTCCAAGTCAGGGAGGAAAAAAAAAGTGGGAAACATTTTTTTCTTTGTGGAAGCTCCTTTTTAGTCCAGTAGAGCCGGAAGACCCCTTTCTACTCTGAAATATTATTGAGGACTTCAAATAATTTTTGCTTAGGTGAGGTATATTTACCATAGTAGAAATTAAAACAAAGAATTTAAAAAATTATTAATTCATTTAAAAGCAACAATACATACTAACATAAATAATATGTTTATGAAAAAAATAGCTATACTTTCCAAAGCAAAACAGCTTAGTGGGAAGGGTGGCATCATTTTATAATTTTGCAAATCTGGCTTCATAGAAGACAACAGGATTCTCATACCTGCTTCTGTACCAGTGTCTTGTGATAGCGCATGTCATGTACCTGCTGGAAAACTCTTGAGACAAAAAAGCAAATAGCATCTTCGTATTATTACAAAAATAGTTTTGGCTCAACAGAGTCCCCTGAGAGGGTCTCAGAGGCGCCCAGATGTCCTCAGACCACACTTTGGGAACTGCTATTCCAGAGAAGACTTCATGCTTCTTTCCCAACAGATGTGTACAAACATGTCCACAGTGGTATTATTTATAACCAAGAAAACTCCAACTCATGTTTATAAATAGTAGAACAGATAAATTGTGGTATACTCACAATTATCAATATTTGCTTAATTATTATATAAAAATAATAAAATGTGATTTCATATTTATAGAGTTCAAAAACACATTAAATATATTATTTAGGGGTAGAAATATGTGGTAAAACCTTAAAGAAGAGCAAGGAGAGTGGTGTCCCTAGGGGAGAGGAGAAGAAGAACATTGCTGAGGGGTAGACATGAAGAGGCAGAAATAGTTGTTTCAGTTATGACGGGCTAGTTATGCTCCAGCAACAAACAACACCTGAGGTCACAATGGCTCAAATACAGCAAAGGTGTTCTGTGGGCAAGCTGATAGGGCCTCCGTCAGATGGTATGTCTCTAGTAGGTGTGCGAGGGGAGGGAACATGGCAAATCATGCACTGGTTCTTAAAGGCCACCCAGAAGCGGCACTCTTTTGCTTCTGCTTACCCCATTCTATTGGCCACAGCAAGTCACATGGCCATGTGTAACTTCAAGGGAGTGGGGGAGTACAACCTGATCATGTCCCTAGAAGGATAGAAGGAAGGAAACTAACTAGAACAATTTGATATTGTTCTACTTCCTAAGTTGAGTGGTGGGTTCACAGGTATTTGCTTAATTATTATATACTATATATTTATAGATAAATAAATCTTATTATATGCTTATTATATACTAGAGGCCCAATGCATGAAATTCATGCAAAGAGCTTGGTCCTTGCAGCCCCGGCTTTGTCCGGAAAGTGTTCCGGAAGGTCGTTTGGCTGTCCAGTCTAATTAGCATATTATGCTTTTATTATTATAGATTATCTATGTGTGTACCTTATTTAAATATATATATTAGGTATACATTATTGGAACGAAAGAAAGAAAAGAAAGGGGAAAAAGAATAGGCCCTTAAATATGCTGAACTAATTCATGTATTTGTATTTTAAAAAATGTAGTGGCCAAGAGAGAAAAAGGTGAGAGCTGAACTGAGAAACATTTGGAATTCTTTGAGCAGCGGTCTTTAAACTGGGATAAGCACATTCCCAGGATCCATGAAGACACTCTAAAGGGTTGCAATGCAGATAATACTAAAGAAATCAATTTCTAGATGCTCACAGCCAGATGTCCTCTTTCCTAAAACCGGTCTCCCTGGATTGCTGCCATGAATGAGCTGTTCTCCTTTCCTTTTTAATAAATGTCCTTGCCCTAACCAGTTTGGCTCAGTGGATAGAGCATCGGCCTGCAGACTGAAGGGTCCCGGGTTCGATGCTTGTCAAGGGCATGTACCTTCGTTGTGGGCACATCCCCAGTAGGAGGTGTGCAGGAGGCAGCTGATCGATGTTTCTCTCTCATCAATGTTTCTAACTCTCTATCCCTCTCCTTTCCTCTCTGTAAAAAATCAATAAAATATATTTTAAAAAATAAATAAAAATAAATGTCCTTTTCCTATTTTTTTCAGAAGAAAGATGTGGCCCATTCTGTCTTCTTGTTATTTGTAAAAATCTCCGGACTCCACCGAGAGAGTTCAGAGTTCTTGGTTCTAGTCAAGAAAGTAAATTACTCTAAAGATTGGATTACAGATCCTTTTGCAAGTCAGATAGTATCTCATCATTTTAGCAAAGGTGCAGGAGAAACTAATGAACTTTTAATATCTGATGATAAATCACTAGTAACCTTGTCATCATGTATAACTTTTGTTCAAATAATATTAGTACAATAAACCCCCTTCATTTTGAGCAAGTTTTCTTAGCACATATTTTTAAAAGTGAAAATTAAAGGTAGAATTGGTACTGAACCTAGAGAAAGTAATAGCCATACATACACACACACACACACACACACAGGACCAATCATATAATTAGGAAAGGCATTTCAAGAAAATGTTACTTTTTGGATTATCATCTTATCAAATTGTTCAATAAATGTGCTGATATATCTATGTTATTTTGATGAATTGTGTGTTACTACTAATTGTAATAACAACTAGTTCCAGATGAAAATCTTGTCACACTATAAACTCGTGCTGTTCAATAGGACTTTATGTAATGATGGACATGTTTTCTATTTGTCTGTCTATATGGTCCATAAGCCACATGTGGCCATTAAGAACTTGAAATGTGGCTAGCATGAATGAGGAACTGAATTTTAAATTTTATTTAATTAAAAATTTTAAGTACTCACATGTCTAGTGACTACAGTATTAGCACAGCTTTATGTCCACAGAAATGGAAGGAAAATTGAATGTGTATGCACTTTTTAAAAACTATATTTTTATTGATTTCAGCGATGAGAGAGAATCATTGATTGGGGATCAAGCTCACAATCTGGGCATGTGCCCTGATGGGGAATCTAACCATGACCTTCGGGTTCCCAGGTTGATGCTCAACCACTGTGCCACACTGGCCAGGCTGATCTATATACACTTTAAAAAGAACTATGATAAACAATTAATAAAAGATTTTCATCATAAATTATATTATTTTAAGATAAAGATATAGAGGAGGAAAAATGAAAATTCAAATTCAAAGAGAAAAAGGAATAATGTGATATTTCCAATTGTTAAAGAACAGCACATTCATGGTATTTTTCAAAGGATGATGGAGGATATCAATTATTATAACACTTGAATTCTTTGTTTAAACAGTTAAAATATTTTAAAGTTACAATGAAATTTAGTCTCTTGTAGCTCTTTATACTTAAGATGAAAAATATAAACTTAAGATGAAAATTTTTAGATATCAACACAAAAATGTTTGAGGGGAGTGCATAATATTTCAAACGTTTTTTGAGGGTAATGCAAGCAAAATGCTTGAAAACCCCTGAATTTTATGACATTCACTGTTCCTTTAAAACCCCTGAATTTTATGGTATTCACTGTTCCTTTCAACTCTTTGGATTTTGTGGATATGGTCTCAGAGGCCACTCTAGTGAGTGGACACTAAATATCATGGGGGAGCACCCTCAAATGTAAAGGTTCACTTACAAAATTTTAACAAAAACAAAATCCAAACAAACAAACTACACTCCACTCGGTCTCTCTCTCTCTCTCTCTCTCTCTCTCACACACAGAGCCCTCCAACAGACCCTCTGTCCCATTCTACACTGGTGATTCTAGTAAAGGTGGTTCATAAACCACTTTTTTGAGAAACATGAGCTTCGTTAGTAATGTCCGGTGGTCTGGCCAGTGAGAAATCTCTGGACATCAGGGTAGCCTCAAAGAAGATCGTTAAAGATAAAAAATTCCATATGAAGTTGTTTGCATTGCCACAGTGTAAATCCCCTTGGCCTGAGCAGCCTGGGCCGTCTGCGGCACACACAAAGGTCTTACATGGGAGTTTGGTTTTGATGGAATTCAAGACAAGGCCCTGAGTTCCACATCTGAGTGCAGACCCGGGACAGCACACACAGATGGCAAAGTGACACAAACTGAAAGAATCCAATGGCAGCGGAAACCAGGAGCCAGGGTGATCCCAAGAACACGAGTCCACTCTCACCTGCCCCGCCAGGAATATGCAGACCCCTGGGCACATTAGCCCTTCCATGGAAGTGGACTTGAGTTTTGCAAGGCAGGGCGATCTCAGCTTGGGTATACTCATTCTAGCATAGCTTCCCTGTAGTGTTGCTCAACTCGTGTGTTAGGAATAGCTCTGCCCATTCCCAGTGGCAGCAAGAGGGCAGGAGGGACATTCAGGTGCTGAAGGGAATAGGAAAATACTCCTATGACCAGTGAGCGCTTCCAATAAAGGTGAGCACTGACAGCCAGGCAGGAGGCGGGTCATCTGACAGCAAGTGGCTAGGAGAGCACTGAGATGTTGTGGGAGCTGGGATTCCAGATTGGCAGCTCTGAGTCAGCCTCTGATTGGCGAGGGACAGGTCCCCCTTCCCTAAGGTTTTCCACTCCCCACTGGACCCTGCTCAGGTCAGGCGGGCTGGAGGGGCGAGAGCTCAGCACTGGCCCTGGGGTCTTGGCACTGTTTCAAAGGCTGGCTTCAGATGCTTATCAGCTGGCTCTTGCACAAGGCCTGGGAGGAGATCGCATCAGAGATGTGAAAAATGCCAGGGAAGCCAAAACAACTTTCTTTAAATAGGGCTCAGGCAATAGGCCGGGTGCTTACACTCCACCTTGGCCTTGTGAAGGAAAATGCAAACATTCGCCCAGAGTTGGAGAAGCAAACAGGCACCTTAGAGGAAGACGGAGAACTGACTCTAAGAGACGCCAAGACACAGGGAATGCAAAGAAAGGTTATGATCTGCACGTTTTCTTTTCTTTGAATGTTGTGCTGTTATCTCTGAATGCCCCAGAGCCTGGTGTGTCACATCACACAGGGAATGCCCAGGGCAAGCTAAGGGGAGATAAGAGCCAACAGCAGTGTGATGGCCACTGCCAGAGGATCCTGGAGATTTTCAGCTATAATGAGGAAGAGAGAGGCAATCGTGCATTTAATAAACATTGACATTGAATCCAGGGGTATGCTAGGGGTGGGAATCTGTAAAGATCAATCATTCTCAATCTTTTCTGCGATGTAACTCACATTACCATCACCTGAATGACTCACTCCTATGGGCCTTCCCACATTTTGACACAATTGTCAAATTTATGTGCAATTCCTGGCTCCCTAGGCCTAACTCCATTGCTTCCTCTCCAGCTTAGGAGCACAGGAGGCATGCACCTAAGAGTATTGTCATTATAAAGTAACCTGGAATTGCTCTAATTCAGCGGTCGCCAACCTTTTGGACCTCATGGACCACTAGTGGTCCGCGGACCACCGGTTGGCGACCGCTGCTCTAATTCATTAAAATAATAAATTCTCTGCAAAATTAAGAATGAGATGAGGTTGCACCTCTTTTATCAGTTCCATTAGTTTGGCTCCAGCTTCAGCCCCTCTATTGCAAGGACAAAGAAGGCCTTCTCTCTTTCCCAAGGTCACTGTCCTGTGGTGAGCCAAAGAGGTCCAGAAGTGTTCTTATCTGGATGCTTATCTGAATCCTGGAGCCACCTCAGAGACATGCCTTGAGGTTAGGGAGCTCCTCAGTCACTGCCAAATCCAGGGGTCTTGGGTTGCTGCTAAAGTCAGAGGGGCTAGAGTCTGAACAACCAGCTCCCACAATTGTAGTTGCTGCCAGTTTGTAATTCCATGACTCCATTTGAGCCCCAGAGCCTGTTCTGGTTGCTCCCACCTCCTGAGGCTGGAACTCCTCTTGTTGCTAATCCTGGGGTTAGTGGCAGAGCCATCAGCCCTGGTGCAGGTCCCACTGACAATTGTCTCTTGAGCACAAGATGGGACAATCCCTGCCCCCTTCAATGCTATGCTCAGCTAAGGCTGCTGCCCAACTGGAGCCACAGGGAGTCGCTTCCCCTGGGCCCAAGGGTGCTGAGAAGAGCATGTGGGGACAGGTTCCCATGTCTGCCTTCGGTGACTGAGGGCCACAGTTCCCTTCTCTCTCTGCATTTCTACACCCAGTTCTTATCACTCAATGGGTGATGTGTCTTCAAGGAGATAAACTCCTTTGGGTTTCCTCAGTAGCAGAGTCCTTGGAAGCCATCTCACAGCCAAGAATTCTAACTCAGTCTTTGAGAACTGCTGAACTTGAAGGTAGGCCCTTAGCGCCAACATCTCCTCAGCCCCAAACCAAGCCAAGCTCTGGAACTGTCCCTCATGCCATCCTCAGGGGACCACATGGCAGTGTTAACATCCTGTGACATCAACCATCAGCATTGGCTGCAGGTTGTGTTAGAGTTCCAGTCACTGCTGTAACACATGGTTTCACACATGAGAAGTCTACTTATCACTCACAGAAGAGCCAGATTCCTAGTCAGCAAGTGGCTTTTTGTCATGTGGCTACTTCCACTGTGTGGCTGTTCCAGTCTCTGGACCTGGAAATTCTCTCCATCTAACTGGCAGATATAGAGAAGTCCTTTCTCCCCGCCCCCCCCCCCCCACTCCTCCTCCTCCTCCTTCTTCTTCTCTTTCTCCTCCCCCTCCTCCTCCTCCTCCTCTTCTTCCCTCTCCTCCTCCTCCTCCTCCTCCTCCTTTTTCTTCTCCTCCTCCTCCTACTC